TCGCTTGGTTTGGTATAAGGCTAGGGCCACACTTGGCGACTTTGTCGCGGCGACAAAGTCGCGGCGTCAATGAATGAAACTGCGTAGCATTAAATTAAATGGAAGCGGCCACACTAAGCGACTCGCGACCAGCGACCACCGGCGACAGAAAAATAAACGCGACCGGGAGCGTTTTTCGGTCGCGGCGACAAATACGCTCCCCATGTTATCTTACGGCACCGGCCATACTAGGCAACAAGTCGCTCGCTCACATCCCCTTTGCTGCTCTATTTTCATATCTATATTATTTAGTTTTGGACTGGCATGGGAAAATATGCTTTTAAAATACAAATATTTTCATCGACATAATAATTGTAGGCATGTTTACATGTGTCCTGTAGCATATATGAGATTTAACTCGTCTGGTATAACAGGAAACCAAAACCTCGTGTATTTTTCAAATGTCGTGCGTCGTCTTCAATGCCATTAGCTTGCCACAGCTATGCACATAAAAAAATAATAGAAAAAAGCTATAATGTCAAGAACGCCATCCATAAACAATGATTTTAAAGGTAATTCGCTCCATACCTGTGGTTTCTCATCCTTTTAGCGAATTTTCCATATAGAGAATAAATTATTACGGTTGCATGGTAGAACCTAAGCCCAGGACCGACTTAATTTTCGTTTTGAGGTCCTCAGAGGCAAAAACTCCCTCCGTTCAAATTCATATATATAAATACATATGTATCTATATACATATGCAGTGTATATATTTTATGTTTATTTAGGTCTATGTGCCCATTAGGGCGATAACTTAAACAAAATTGGTGAGATTTTAATGGTGTTTGGTACAAATGTTTAAACCAACGTTAATTCAAACGATCTCGCAAATTAGAATGATCAGACTATGAGAAAAGGCCTTAATAAGGTTTCAAGGGGCTTTAATGGGGTATAACATTAGTTCATTCTTATTTTTGACCCTAAAACATAAATTTCAAAATTCCCTTCCAAACTGTTTTGTTAGCTAAAAATTAAATACTTTTGTACATTTTAAGCGGTGTTGAAAGCCTAGCGGTTACGGAGATAATTTAAACAATTGTAGCCTAAATTTATAATGCCCGTTTTTATGGAGAATAAACTGTTGTAGTTTGCTTGTTTATAGATATATTTTAATAACATTTTGCAATATTGTTAATTTCGTACTAAGCTATCATAATCTATTTTAATTAACAAGCACACCTCAACAAGCACATTTCAACAAGGTTACCTTATCCGTATCAACAAACCTAAGCATTAATTTGAATTCATCTTATATAAATTGAAAATAAATCCGACAAGTCTAAGTGAATATTTTAGTGGAAATCTAGCCAAACAAATGCCGCTTGGTCTGCAGGTTTTTTGCGGCTGGGGTATTTAGATATACAAGAGATAGCAACATTAAGCATTAAACAGTGATCTGACGATTTAGACATCCACATTGGTTTTAAAAACATAATTTAACACTTTAATTTAGTAAAAATTGTATTCCTTTGTTGCTGGTAAACGGTTAAAAACTATTACGTGACCTAGTACGAAATATAAAGAGGCACCGGTGCACGTACGAAAATACTTTAACTATATGGTTTAATTTGTAAGATTCGCTTGAATTGTATGATACTGCAAATAACAGTAAAATACCCCCGCCGCAGCAAACCTGCAGACTAAGCGAATTTCCAATTGCCTGATTGGATTTACACTAAATTGTCTCCTTAAAAATATCGCATTTATTCCCTATTTAAATAGAATCAGTTTAACACATACTTAGGTTTGCTGCAACAGGGGGGTAAAAGTGTTTTTTATGTAAAATGTCAATAGTTAGTAAGAAATAAAAACATTTTCCAAATTTAGGCAAAATATGTTAATAAACAAGCAAACTACAACAGTTTACTTATTCTCCATAAGAATAACATGGGAATTTTAAATTTACAATTTTTTGGAATTTTCTCCGTAACCATTAGGCGCATTATAATGCTTCAATATACTAAATTATTTGTTTTTTTTAAGCTCTACAAAATAGTTTAGAAAGAATTTGCAAAATTCTATGTTTTTTGGGTCAAAAATGGGAAAAACCCATTTTTACCCCATAAAAGCCCCCATAAACCCCCGTTCCCATGGTCCGATCATGCTGGTTCGCGAACTCGTTCGAATAAACGTAGGTTTACACGTTTGCACCAAATTTCATCGAAATCGGATCATTTTTGCTCGAGTTATCGCGCTAACGGACACACACACACACACACACACACACATATATATATATGAATTTGAACGGATGGTATTTTTGGCCTCTAGGGACCTCAAAACGAAAAAAAAAATTGGTCCCGGGTCCAGGTCTTACCATGAGTACTACGGTAATAGCTTATTCCCTATATGGGAAATTCGCTAAAACATCAATGTATTCTAAGATCATCCAAAAACATACATAAACAGTCATAGATCCTTATTTATTTCCATAATCAATGACACGATTTTTGTAAAGTACAATATAACATCTCGAAACTCTATTTTTACTGGTATGGTAAAAAGTAAACTGAAAGGTTGAAATTGTCGCCTATTGTGGCCACCCCCAGCGACTTTGTCGTCGCGTCAAAGTCGCGCGAAAAAAGTCGCCGCGACTAAGTCGCCAAGTGTGGCCCTAGCCTAAGGAGTCGCTTATTGCCTTGCCAAGACTTACAGACAGTTTGGTCGGCAAAGTAGATTCGCCGACATCGGACTGGACTGGGGCCAAACTGTACTACAAGGTCTCCGTAAATTGGTGTCGCTATTTTTGTTTCGCGAAATGAATGGAGCGTAAAATCAATGCCGAAATTTCCTTAATCAAGCGTAGGTGTACGGAACAAGCATACTCTACGTAGGACTGCTTTTGATAATTTAAAGTTTAGTTTGTGCAAAAACCTTAAATTACGTTACACTATAATATTTACATAGAAAAAACACTATTTTAAATACCGGTAGGTGATTTTTAATTAAAATATAAAAAAAATAATAACTAGGGTCTTTGAATGAATGCACATGGTCATATACCGTATGCAATACCACAAAATTGATGTAGGGCCTATTTTGCAGGCGTATAGATGGATTAAACAAAGCATAGAACTCGCTACACAATGAATAATCTCGAATTTGGTGTCCTAAAAGGCTCATGTTATATCATCATTCCAAAGATCGAAAAAGAATCTGCAGTAAATAGACTGTTCTGCACCAGGAGTATGCTAGACTGTTTCCATTTAATTAGACTACTATCCTTATTATTTTTGTCGTATTTGATTGACTTAACTGTATGAATGTTTGCATGTGGTGTGTTATGTTATGTGTTTGTGGTGTTATTGTTGACACGCTAGCTCACTTGTATATCAAGGAACATGGCCATGTGGGTTGGGCTAGGGCAGCTATGTGGGCTTAAAAAATAACAATATCGTAGATTAAATACACTCACCAGATTTACCATTATTTTGAAACAGACAAAATAATAAAGAATGCCCTGACATGTTTATTAATCTATGACACTTTGGTTGTTTTCTATTTTTCTCCTAAATTGACCAACAACAACTTAAATACAACAATATTTGTAACTATTGCTTGTTGCTTCTATAAAGCAAAGAGAGTAGAAAAATGGCCAAATTTAGGGCCTACTCTAAATTAAGATAAAACCTTTAGGCCTAGTTCACGTTGATTTTCTCTAACAGTAGATTTCTCATCCTTATGGAACAGCTGAAGCCAATTTTTTTGTTAGTTCTGTCCGGTACACTATAGAGTCGTGTTTTGTTTACAATTTGTTTCTTGTTAATTTAGTAATTAAAATCCTCGTTTAGCCAAATAAAATGACCAGATCATAAACAATAACTCGTTTCCTCGTTAAACAACTAAAAAGTAAAGCACAAATCATGAAATTAGCCCTAAAATAATAGAATTACTTTCGTCGATACTCACCGGACATGAACTAGACACGAAAAACGAGCTTCAAAATTTACAATGGGATGAGAAGTTTACTTGTGTTGGTTAGTCTATGCTCTGACGTAACCAAGATGAACACGCGTCAAATAGGTTTCTGGGTTTTCAATAGAACGACAGGTATGCTTTAAACTCTTGACATTATCAAACAACATAAGAGTACAGGACTCTCATTGTATGATGAATTTCCATGGCAAATTAAACAATGACATAATAGCGCCTGATCTTGCACGTAATTTATTTTTAGTTAATATTCCGGTTCATACAAACAATACACACGTGTGCAGATTCCCTTGTATGTGGTGGTATGCATGTACGACTCGAGCTGTCCGCTGCTGTCCCTTCAACGATTAACCAAGTTTCAAAATTTACAAAATTTAAATACGAGAAAGTGCAAGAAGAGAGATAATCTAGAGAGAACACAATGAACATCCTTTTCAACTATGATCTGTTGAAAATTTGGTACTTTCCTGTTAAAGGGAACATTCATTATTATCGATGATTTTTTCGTTATATCGATATTTTTGTTTCCTTTACAATCCATATTCCTCCTGTTTTAGTTAAACTAACCATAACAAACCAAACTTGCCGTAGGAAATTCCATTTGGTAACAGAAAAGGCATGTGGGAAATATCAAATGGAATTTTAAAATGTTACAGCAAGTTTCGTTAGTTATGTTAGGTTAGTTTAGAACAGTTCCATTTCAATATATGTTTTTAATAGTTTGTTTACACGTTTGTTGATACTGAACAATATTTATCGTAGTTGTCATGTCAGCTGATATGTTTCAATTTGTTATCGATATATTGGATCGAAAAATAAAATATCGATATATCGAAAAATCATCGATAATAATGAATGTTCCCTTTAACAGGAAAGTACAGAAAAGTTTGCCTAAGCCCATACAAATGGGATGTCTACTTCAGTATCCATACCAAAAGTAAAAGTTCAAACTTAATCACTTCCGAAGGGACAGTACCGGCTTGTGTGTCGAGGGCTCTGCCCTACTGACCGGATGTCCGATGGTCCAGGGGCAGGCAGTTGACGACCCTGGGGTCTCCACCGCGCGTCGTGTCTCCTAGGCGTCCGCCCCACTGGCTTCCCGTCCCTCGCAGCGAGCGATGCCGTATCTGCTATACAGACTGCTGAAAGGTATGGGGGTGAATGTTGTAATTGTACTTTTATCACTCGATATTAAATCTATTTTCAAATTAAAATACTACTAAAATATTGAAACTAATATAAACTAGCAATATAAACTAATATTGAAACTGTTTATGTTGCTAAGTATAGGTGCTATTGTATTTTGGATACTGAAGTAAACATTCAATATGTATAGTACTAGAGTAGCCAAACTTAATTAAAAGAAACACATTTTAATGAACCTATCATAGAGCGAGCTATTATAAAAATAGTATTTTCCCTCCTACTTTTTCTTTATACTGTTGTAATGTGTAATGTGGCATAAAAGATGGTATATCTTACAATAAGTTGTTTTATCAGTTTGGGTTGGATAAAAGTTGACGTATCAAACAGAAATCAGTTATTTGGTTACAGGAATGTCGAGTTTTATCTATGGTCAAATGTACCATAGAATAGCAAACTATATATAAAAAGTATTTTGTGTGAAAAAATTTTTTTTATACACAAGCAAGTTGACCTTTGTACCTCTGATAACAGAGGAGCTGAGACTTCTTAGTTTTCCTGCCAGTTCTGTCTCAGTCAGTGAGCCAGTGCCGTGATCGGGTTGCAATAAGTGTTGTAGGCCTACATGATAATGTTTCGTTCGTACGTGTCAAATGTATGTACAGTTTTGTGTTTAAATGTAAATTTCTACAATTTGACGAGTCCAATTCGGATATTGTAATGTTTCAAGTTTCAATGTTTCTGTGTACCACTTGAAAATGCCAACATGGCGAAACATGTAGTGGATTGAAAAAGACACTATTTATTTGAACTGTATGTTTGAGGTATGTTTTAATTTAGTTTCTAACATATAGATTCAAATATTATAATCCAACAAATATTATAGTCTAACATATTGATAACACGGGAGTTGCAGAGTCAAGTCAAAGTTTGATCCCAGAGATAAGAAATTGATTGTGAACCAGGTGTGCCAATTTCACGATTGGGGAGAATTTTGTTTCTCGATAGATGGAAACAATTGCTTTCTCAATAGTAGTGTCTAAAAATAAAACTAAATGCAACGATGACGAAAGAAGAAACGATATACTTTTGTCTGGTGTAAACTATTTTGATCAAACTTGGTAAATGTATTTATTTTATAATAAATTATTAATATTTTACTAAAAAGCACACTTTTTAACCCTCCCTGTTGCAGCAAGCCTAGGTACTCATAAAATGTAATGTTAATTAAATACATTTAATTGAAAATCAATTCAGGCAAATGGAAATTCGTCAAGTTTGCAGGTTTGCTGCGGTGGGGGTATTTTGTTTCTAGACAGGTGTATCTGTTAAAGTTCTAAACCGTCATAAAATTATCACCAAGAACTTTTGTGGTTGGCAATATTTGAACCCGTGCCTTCATCAGAACCACGCTCTAGAACCCATAGAAATGAGTTGCTGGCATTCATGAATGATGAATGATCAATGATCAATGAATGATTCTATCAGATGGCATTCATATATGACCTGTAGTTATGAAAACCTAACCAAGAAATCTCTGCGAAATAACTTCAACTCCCTAGTTGATTGTCGTAGCCCAACATGTTTAGCGAATAGTTTATCAAATTGCTAAATGGGTTAATCGATTTGACTTATGATTGTCCGTTATGTAATGCCTTATCGCAGATATCTTGTGTGATACCCTCTCATCTTTTGTGCGACCCATCGATCCGCACCTCCCTCTCTCGCTAAGGATATACTCTAGTTTTCAAAGTGAGTACTACGAATATATTGACTTGTACGCTTTCAATATACCCTTTTCATTTTAAAACTGTCAAAAGTTTAACATATTCCAAATTTCATTTAACGTTTGAAATATTTGCCCGTACCTTCGACGATGAATAGAACTAGAGGTTGACATGTCAAAATTTGCTGTTGATAAAAAAGTATCCAATAGAGTTTAGTGTTGTCCATTACCAATTCAACTTATTTTAAACCGTAGCAACAATTAGATTCAGTCCATACCATTGTGTTAAACAGAGGGAAAATATAATTAATATTTGAATAGAAATTCGGATAAATATGTAAAATATTACCAGCTGTTTTAATATATTTTCGTGCGTGTATTCCTTATACTTATTTTGTTTATGGTGAAACTTAAATTCACTTTTATAAGTCCTATTTGATTATTGCACTATCGGTTTATACATTACACATTGTTTATCTATGAGGAAACTCTGGCTAAAATAATTGGTCACTATTGCAGATAAGTTAAAGATTGCAAGTAATGTGTCATTCAGTAATTGAGTTTAGGTGATTTTTAATCATTAACAAAAGTAATATTTGCTTGGCAATGGGTTTAATAAGGAAAATCTAATCGTCTGTATAGTTGTTTTGCATAACTGCTCGTCATTATTGATTATATCAAATCGATGGTTCGTTCGACATTCGAAAATCTTTTAGATATAGGTTTGGTTTTCTATAGCAAGCAAGTAGACTTCTCGTCCTACTGTGAAATATTAAGCCTTGTTAAATGTGTTTCGTGTCAAATCTGTTAAAATGTATCTTTTCTCTATGTTTGTTAAATTGTACAGAGATATTAAATCTTTAGAAATAACATTGATAGGACAAACAACGGTTTACAAATTAATTGTTCTATTTGGTCACAATAGCTTAATGTAATAGCTTGTAAACCAGCAGAAGTGCTCATAAGGGGTGAGGTTCATAACTCCAAGTTTTCATAACTCCAAGTACTTTTAAATACAACATTTCATAACTCCAAGTGAAATTATGTCCAAGTAAATTAAAACCAAAATATCAGTTAACCTTTATATTTTATAAAGGAGTTATGAAACCTTGGAGTTATGAGATGATCCCCTCATAAGGAGGACATAAATATCCCCTGATTTTCTTTAGTTTGTCCATAAGTACGATACATATACGAGGGAGTACGTTCAGTATATGGGTTTATTAAAAAAATGGTGTTTGAAGTAATGTCTGTGTGTGTGGATGTGTATAGCTACGGCCTACACTTGCGGTCCAATTTTGATGACATTTCTTATGTGGATTAAGTGTATTTTTAAATTTTCAATTACGTTTTCCCATAAAATAACCGTAAATAAAATTTTTATAAAAAACGGATCGAACGATTTTGATTAAAATTTAGTATGAAATGGTCCGTTAAACTTGGCAAATTTATTTATTTGATACTAAGCTATTATTATATATATATAAAAAAGGAAAAAAGCACAATATTAGTTTCATTGTAGCAGCAAACCTAGGTACTCGTTAAACCAAATGTTATTTAAATAGATTTAATTGAAAATCAATTCGGACAATTGGGAATTTCCATTTAAATGCATCTTATAAAAGGATGCATGATAAAGGTACAAATTGTATTATGAGGTGAAGGATATACTGGGGTTTATCTTACAACTATGTCAAGTTACGTCTGACGGAATACACGACTAATTCTACAAAATAATATTTTTTGCCAAAAGCGTGTGTTTAACAATTTCCCAACCCAAAATTGGAAATGTACAGGAGTTATATTTCAAAGAGTGGATTAGAGTGGAATTGTATTTAAGAAAAAAAAAATCAAAATAGGAGTACAGTCAAAGTTTGATACAATGCGAGGGATCCAACGGGAATACTTTTTTGTAGTGCGGGTTAAAGGTATAATTTTTATCCCTGAGTGCACAATATAGGCTTCATTGATTTATTTTAAAATTGTATAGGAACAGTGCAAAATTATACTGTACCAACAAACCAAGCAAGAGTAATGACCAACAATTTTATTTCCAAATAAGAATTAAAAATTAAATTAAATTTTTATACCAAAGTGCAGGATGTGTCGGGAATTTGCTACAAGTGTCTGGGGATCGTGTGGGGATTTTCCTACTAAAAGGTACACGAGGGGATATTTAATGCTAACAAAGGGATAAAGATGTCTCGCACGTGTAAGCAAGCAGTGCCGCCAATCTCCACAATCAACATCTACAAAATATTGTGTACATTACCATTGAGTATACACGTACTGTTACTCAAGTGCAGAATGTTTGGGAATCTTTTACAAGTGTTTACGATCGGGTGGGATTTTTTTACGGAAAGGTAAATTGAGGGATATTTAACGCTAACTGCGGGATATGTTGTCCCGCGTGGAAGCAGTGCCGCCACGCCACCGCCAGTCAACATCAACGCCGCAGTATGGCCAACCCCGAGCCTGCGTTAGTGGATGCCATCGCCCGCCTTTACGTATTCCCCCGACAAGGTTGTAACATTTTATATACAAATAATTACATATAATTTTATTATTTTTTTATAACGGAAAGAGGAAACTTGTGAGTCCCCCGTATCGTGGATTTGAAATTTGTTTGTAGCATTTTAATTGGATGTAGGAGGCACTAATGTTCAAATTGCCGATATAAACAATACTGTCAACTAAGATGTTGCGTTTTAGTTTTGAAATGTAATTATAGGGAAGATAACATGAAACATAACAATTATACTTTGTGTAAAACACAACTACAGTGCTGACATTGCAATCTATATATATATATATATATTAATTTCCTGATAAGTTTAGTAAGGCCCTATATATTCTATTATATATTTAGGAGTAATTGCTTAACATAAAAAATTATTTAACTGTGATGGGACATTTATGTCAGATAAATTGTGTACAACATAAAATGAAAAATATGAAATTTTGAGTAGTAGTAGTAACATTTTTATTTACAACCTTGTTTAAACACCTAAAGTTAGTCAAGTCTTATTGAACATTTAATGGAAAAGTAATTTCGCTGGTGTTACGATAATTGAACACAGCGAGATTAAGCGCGTGTATCGCATATGTTAGATTGTTAGGTTAGGTTAAGTAGGTCGCACCACTCGCGCACACACAAACACACAGTACACGCGGTATTGTTTATGCGAGTGTGCGTGTGCAGCAAAAGGTATATATACTAGACCACCCATGTGACGCGACAATGTCAACGAAGAAAAATCTTTACTGATATTACTGCGGCAGGAAAGAGATAACTCAACTATCGACATTTTTATTTTTAATGGTGATTTTTCCAAAATACGGAAAATTTGATCTTGAAATGACTGACGACATCCTTGACACACTGTACTTATTATTACGCGCCTATTCTTTGGCAACAAGTTTTCCACTAGTTGCTCTAAATTAGTGAGGAGCAACATTTAGTTGTAAACTTTTAGTTGTCAACTTTTGGTTGTCAACTTTGGTGTAAACGCGGCTTAAGTCAATGATTTTCCTTAGCGGTTATATAACATTTGGGGTATCACGTTAGTGTTCGCCGTTCGGCCTTGGAAAGGACTTTGATAAGGCTAATATATTCAATAATTAACTAACTAATATTTTTAGGAAACACCTCTATGCTAAATATAACTTTAGAACAATGAATATAACAATGAGTACAACATTGAATCGTATCATCATTGAATGTTACTTTTAGTTTATTTTAAAACAAACTTGTTTCACACTGCATAAATAGGGAAACTGCTCATAATTTTGGCATTATAATCAAACACGGATCTCTATTTATAAATATTACATCTTTTACAAAAAACCAAAAGTGGGGAAATTCAAATAATAATACATCAAATGTTTTGTTGCCTGTTATCTAAATGGGCTGATAGTAGTTACAACTTCATTCTTATTATCAATACATACAATATTATACCTCTAATGTAAAATATATCAGAGCATCCCAAACTTATTTAGTAGGCTTAATAGAAGGGATTTCCAAATCGGTATCTTTATTATGTTTACAGTCTATAATTCTACACTTAATCCAAAACAGATTAGGCCCAAGCATGCATTTTTTGTCACACTGCACCAAAGACGGCTGTTTTATTGATGGAATGAAAGGTTAAAGTCTAAATCTCATAAATAGGTAAAGCATAGATCTTTTTTAATAACTGGGGTAAAAAATAATCAGTTAGGGTCATGAACTTGGCAGTAAGTTTTTTGTTAAGTGTGTAAAAAAATGTGCATGTCTGTACGTTTTTATCATTTATTGTGACAATGAAAACATAGTTGTAATTCAAAATGTTTTATTAAATTCATTTACCTACGACCATTTTTAAAGTTTCAGTTCAGTTCTTAGAATTGTAAAGTTTTACATAACAGCATTGTTTACTTACATACAGTAACAGCATAGTTTTACTTATCAACACGACAACGAAACAATGAGGTTCAAGGATTGAGAGAGAAGTAGTAAAATTGCAATGCTTCGAACTTAAACTAATCAGCTGTTTAACAATTTAATTGTTAACGATTGGTGTAATTAGTCGGTACAATGAGTCGTTGCATCAATGTCAGTGGCAATGAGAGGTTACAAACGAAAACATAACATAACCTCTCTTAAAAGTTTTGAGTAGTGATTATTAGTAATTAAAAATCGGTCGTTGGTAAAGTAGTGCAACTCGTGTAAATAGTGATAACGACACGAGTAGAAAATTTAAGGTACGTGCCTTCGTTGCGTAATACTACTATAAACTTATTTATATTTATAACCGTTTGCATTGCATATTTCTTTACAATACAAGTATTTCTTTATTTATATTAGACAAATTAAATTGTAAAGAAATTTTAGTACAGTAATTTATACTAAGTCATTATTACTGTTTTGGCAGAGTAATTTCTGATAGTAAAATAAACAAAAACACTCTACATCTAATGGACAGAAACATTGTCTGGTTAAATGAAAAAAGAAAAAAAACTAAAATTGGTCTTAGATAAATATATAATGAGAATATGTAGAATCTTTGATTGTGCTTGGATTTAATATTATGTTTTGTACATGATTATTTTAGTAACTAGGTCTTATACTAAAATATTATCAAAATACATATAACACCGAAGAAGGTTTTGCTACTTTATGATGGTTTTACGTAAAATTTTCTGTGTAACAAACATAAATTCACTATATTTGCTGGTTGGCATTAAATATTTGCTGAAGTGCACAAATTGGGTGACTCAGCGGATATTACTAACTGTATTCTCATTTGACTCATACACTACATCATGAAATAATGCAAAAATACTAAGCAAACAACAAGTTAACTTATTGATCTTAATATTTCTTACACTGTAATCAAATTGGTGAATCGTGTTGTTCTTTTAGAGTTATTTTTTCTTCAATTAGCATCATTAAGTATATTTAACAATGTGAAATAAACATGCTTTAAGTTAACATCATAGGCCTTAAGTAGTAAGATTAAGTGTATAAATTAACATATTTTTTTATGTACAATTTTATTAGTTTTTGTTTAATTTTAAAAATAAAATTAGTTTTTGTTAATAAGTTATGTTTATTTAGAAAATAAACAAACAATTAATTTTAAGTAGGAAACAATAGAAAATTTTTTATCTTTAAGTTTGAACGATATATATTTAAACATTTTCATAAAGATGCACAACCTTTATCTTATTGAGTTTAGTAAACTCAATCTAGAAATCCATTAAACAAATTCATCCTTAATTAGCCCAGATTTTGGAGGAATTACCATACAACTTGCGATATCCTGTCATTGTAATCAGTTAAAATATTTGGAAATATGGTACTAAAAGTTAACACCTTATAATGTCAAAGCTAACACAACACTTAAAAACGTTTCAACAACATTATTTCACCAAAATTATTTGTTGAACTTTTTTGACTCAGAATAAACTAAAGTGTACACATTTTTTTACCAAACAACTCATTGTAACAACAGCTACAACTCATATATCAAACCATGGGTAACAATTGGTAACAATATCGGCTTTATCAGTTAATGGTTTACTAATGATATCAACCATTTCAATCAAGCTTTTGTATTTACACAGTCAAGAACATCTTGGATGTTTCAACGCCAGTCACTGATAGACTAGAATGTCTAGAACAATGAAAATAGACCGGTTGAGTCATATTGTGTCTTTTACAGGCACAATTTTATGGTTTAAATCCATCATAAGTCATATTACAGGTATGTTGTGTAATGTCGTTTTGTCTGAACTATTATGGGTTTTTTGTTAACAGTTTTAGATGAATTTAAAAGAAAATCTAATCATAAAAATTAGCTCTGAGGGATTTTATGTGAAATATTATTTCAAAATCCCCTTAAGTACCTAATCGTATTTCCAAGGAAACAAAAAATAAAATATAGTGAGGTAGGGTTTCAAGGGACAATTTGATTGATTTCAAAATTATTGAGTGAGTGAGTAAGACTTGTTTACAAAAGTGACAGTTTCAATCCATAATAGCCTATTAGGAACTGAATCCAAAAATATTTTTAATTAGTTTATAATATAATATACAGGGTGTTCAAAAAGGTGGGGACATAATTTACATACTGATTCCGTGGGTCAAAATAAAGAGATAATCAAGAATAACATTTTTCCAAAATCGCTTCGTTAACCAGATTTCGGCCAATTTATATTTTTTACATATAAACATTTTTATCTTTGAATTTTTCAACCGATCTTAATGAAACTTGGTATGTATGTTAAGGTAAAAGAGACCCATGTTAGGAAAAAAATTATCATGATTCAACTGAAAATTTCAAAATGGCGGCCATTTTAATTTTTTAAACTTTAATTACTCGAAAATGGCTGATTTTATGAAAAAATGTCAAGAACACTTTTATTTGGCATTTTTAATAATCTATCAAACGATACCAAGATCAAAAAGATTGAATATGAAATAGCTTAAATATTACGATTTTTAGTTGTAAATTGGGGAAAACCTGACTAGCTTCTGCCTTATTCTACCCCATACTCTCCAAAAGATTACAGTAAATTTTTCTTTCAATAAATATTAAAATTCATCCTTTCACTATTTATCATAGACTATCATTATTACACTACTACTAACTGTGCTACTACACTTATAAGGAACAGTCATATAAAACATTATCTTCAATTTTAAAATACTGTATTGAGATCTACTGGTTTTTTATACTACCGGTATTATTTCTTCATTTTGAAAATACCTATCTTTATTTTTAGTCATGACTTTAGTAACCATCTTTTGTCAAAAATCAAAAAAAAAGAAAATCCAATCAGTTAATAATTTGTATTACTGTCCCAAACTGTGCACCATCAAAACTTTACAAAATAATTGTAATATATCCACTTAGGTCTTGCTGTGCAATAGATTGTATTTTTATAAGTTAATAACTGGTAAAAATAATAAAGCGGAGCAACATTCTTAACCATGACTTCATAGAAACAGAAACATAAAATAACAATGATATGAGATCTGTTCCTGCCCCAAAGTGTATGTTGTAAGGTTCATGGTGTTCTAAATGACAAGAGTATACTGAACCACATGACATGTTATGTGGTGTTGGAGGAGCAAGCTTGTCTGGTAGAGCACAGGGCTTTGGTCCTGGAGACCACAGGATCAAATCATTTCAACCACCAGTGGTTTTAGCTATTTAATAATGCCAAGTTAAAACGATCCAGCTAGGGTCTTGTATCAGAATGTGAAGATTATGACATGGAAAATAAAAAAATATACTGTATATTGTATTTGTATGATATAAAACTTTGTGTCTATTACAGGGGGCACGGCCCGCGTCCCGGAGGCAATGCCAGCGTTTGAGGAGGCCCGGCCAGATGACTCCAACCTCAACATTCCCCTCAAACAGCCCAAGTACTGCTATCAGGCCTTGCAAGGTATGGCAACATTTTTTATATTCATATTTTTATATTTAACTTCCAAAATACAAATAATTACCAATAAGAGTCCTTGAGACTGGAAGATGGTTCCACGGAACTGATCTAGTTGCCAGAAAGCAACAAAGGATTACTATGCAGGTATTGTAAACTATTTTAAGTATGCAGTAATCTGGAGGCTAAACAACTCTTTTTAATAAGAGTCAAGAGTGATAAGAATTCTATGTTTGATAAAAGATAGTACCTATGTTTGGTTCTAATTGGAGGCAAGGGAAATTTGACAGATTTTTCTTTTGCTAAATTAAGAGCTGGGAGTATAATGACTTTCATTGATAATAATAAACATAGTCACCTACTATAAACTATAAACACAGTAATGAAAATAAAACACTTTTTGTACTATACCTAACATATCATCTCAAAACTGAACCAGAATATCCAAAAAAAAGGACCTTTGTGCAGATGCAGTACCAGCTCGGGTGGTGCTCTACCTGCTGTCGTTTTCTGGGTTCCTGGTGTCCTTCATGATGCGCACGGACATCAACATCGCGATAGTTGCGATGGTGAAGCTTCCCCCTCCACTGCCCAAGACCGACACAGCCGGGGATGATCCTCTCGTCTGCTACGATCACAGCACCATCACTAACAGCTCCGACGAGTCACCAGTCCACTCTCCGGTTTGTTTACTTGCTGCACATTCTCTAGTCAAATTGAATGATTAAGTCATTCCTAATGATTTAGTATGCATAGGAGAAGTTAATTGGGATTTCACAATTTGCCATTCGCATGTTTTCTTACAAAATTTCTTATGCTGTTAGAGTTTAGAAGTTGTCAGTTTATACTTAGACGTAGAAGATTTTATCAACGCATTATATCAATTATTTACCCTTCAAAAGAAAACAGTGCAGTATTTGTTGAGAGTATCAGCTGTGTTAAATAAGGTCTTGATAGTCAATAACTAATTTACAAACATTAAAAAAATACATGATAATTTATTGTATTAATGTGATAACTCTGTTCATAGGTATAGTTAAATTGTCATTCCTTGGTATCATGAAATCATTCATACAAATATTCTACTAAAATGGCTTCAAGATTATACAAATCCATTAAGCACCTGTTGGAAAAAATGATATTTCAGAAGTACCGGTATGTTTTACTGTGACTATAGACTTAATTATTGTATTTATTTTTTATTCAAATCACATGCTTTACAGGAGGAAGGGGAGTTTGACTGGGACGCTACGGTCCAGGGAGCCATCTTAGGATCCTTCTACTGGTGCTACATCCTATCTCAGGTACAGTCTTATAGGAACATTAACTTAATTGTTTAAAGTTCTTTGTTGGTTATAGTTAGCAATATGGTGTCTAATAGATTTCTGCAGACGCATAAGTTTTACGAACCTGAACCTTCATGTGAGAAGGAACCTAGGTCAAGACAAGATTATTCAATAGATTAGGACTCTGGGAATCACAATAGCTGAAATCAACAATTCCACAATTACAACCACTTGAAGAATATAGCTTTACTATTCATATCCAATCATACATTTATAGCTCAAGTTTTTGCTTTTCACCTTATCCTTTTTTTCTATATCATTCCTGCTCTAAACATTTTATTTTTTCATATTGTGGTTTCTCATTCCCCAGTTTGTGAACTAAAATGTTCTAAGTTCCTTCCTACTTAAACAGGATAAATTTCTACTTATTCCAGATTCGGAAACATTAATTTGGATTTGAGGAACGGAAGTGAAACCCACCAGTAGGTTGACTTCTCCTCATCCTCCACCATTCCTCCACATTTCAATCTTGTTCTTAGCACAAAAGAAAGTAGCAAGCCAATATACAATATTTATGTTTAGAAATATCTCTTGAATAATTTAAGTTAAAAAGCAGGCCCGCAGTTAGCATGTGACACACATGGGCCCAAGAGATAATTGCACCCCTTTCACTCTTCAGAGGAGGAATTTGCCTCCTCCTTGCACACCCAACTAACTAAAAATCTCTTGTGCCCCAGGGCCCATTTATTAAAGCGGCCCTTAAAAAACATCATCTAGACAAAGAGCTAATTCCATTCCACTGCATTAAACTCTGTTTAACCCCTGCATACATCTATTGTAGGTGGTGGGAGGAATGCTGACTCAGAAGTTTGGTACCAAAGCAGTGTTTGGTTACTCGCAGCTCGCCACGGCAGCGTGTTCTCTGCTGATCCCGACGGCTGCTGATATCCACTACGGAGTCATCATCTTGCTGAGGTCCATCCAAGGAGTTGCTTCGGTGAGTCGCTGCATCCATTTATTTCTCTGGGTTTCCAGAATTTGGCAAAATTAATAAAACAGTTTTTAGCGCATCAGATGTCAATGTAAGTTTTTGTGAAGATGATTCAAATCTGATTTGAATGTTGCTCGCAATGTCATTTAGGTTCCGGTAATTTGAAGGGAGACTTAAAACAAGGAAAAAGTTTTAACTTCTAGAAAAACTTTTGCCAGGAACAAGGTTTTTACTTTGCTGTTACAAATCATTCATTTACAAAATCTGTTTGAACATCCAAATTATTGACATGGCCAAAACTTTAGTAAGGACCACTTATGCAAACATAACTGAAAATGGTTGAACGCTGTACTTGACACCTATTGCAGCCTTTGAGTCCAGTAAAACTACCATACTTGGGCTTGGGTTGACCAGTCTTGCCAGTGCAGTAGACCATCGAGTCTGATCATGGCCAGGGTCTAAAGTGTTGTCTCTCCGGCCAGGAGACATCACTTTGGACAGAGGTTTGAATCTCATCTTGGTCTGGTCTGAGGTGCAATTCTTGAGAGGTTTTGCCTGTCTGAGGCATAACTTGGTGGGAGAGACCAACCCTGAATAAAAATTTGAAAGCAAAGTTGGAATTATAGAAAAGAATTGGTTGATTATTTGCTCAATTCAGGTATTTTACCAATTTTTACTTATGTTTATCGTGTGTGTGTCCACCAAAAACTAGTTTTGTTCAAATTTTGTTCACTAGATGAGGGGAAAAGAAAAGAAATCAGAAGAATGCTAGCAATAAATAATCAATGGTGTTCAAAAGTGTTAACTTGATTCAGTTTATCAACTTAATATTATTATTTTCCCATCACATTTATATCAAAATAAAGAAAAGATATGTTGATAGATTTCAAAATGTGTTGTTCTAATCTTGGCAAATTTTTATCAGTTTGAATGGGTGAAACAAAGCACATAGGAAGAAATAATTTTAGACCGATTATAATCTGAAAGAAGACTACACAAAACCTTAAATATTACAATAATTAGAGTAAGTAGTCTGAATAAAAGCTTTCAATAGTTTTGTTTTCAAGTACCTGGAATGAATTGGTAAAATTATATTTTAACATGCTACTAAAATACAAATTGACGTTGTGAACCACCACACAAAAGTCACTTAAAATTCACTGTTCACCAGCTTAAGTGAGGTCGCACAGACTGTGACATTTCAAGCCGAACTGGAATATTCTAGGTTTTCCTTCAAGGTGTTTGCAGAGCATGGATTTGGACGGCTTCATGTATGGGGTACAACATGTCACATGTTACACATACCCCGTATGTGTATGCATCTATTGTTGTTGTTGTTGTTTAGGGCCTGACCTGGCCAGCCATGTACGCTATCGTCGGCCAGTGGATTCCGGCCATTGAGCGAAGTCGTTTTATGTCTTCATTTCAAGGTTCTTATTTTGATGTATTTTTAAACTACTTGTACTAATACTACACATTCATTGGATTCTTATTAAACATATAGAAGTTGTATACTATGATTTATTAACATTTGGATTGCTTTTGGAATATATAGCCTTACAATAGTCAATAAATATTTTAAAATTACTTGGGTAATTTGGGTGTCTTACAAAAAAATAAAAAAGTTTCTTTACACGAGTAATTCAGTTTATAATTTCTTAAGAATAGTTTGTTTAGTTTTTCAAAGACTTAAAAAAATTGCATTGTGCAATAAACACAAAAATTAAGTGACTTCAGTTATTATTTTATTAATTAATTTTTTAAACTTGGTATTTGGTATTCATAATCTTCTTGATGGAAATGTATTAGAACTATATTAGTTGTTTGGTTATTTTATTATTCACAACACCTATTTTCATAGTCATACAAATAATAGAATATTATTATCAAAATAGTTTTTCAACTCTTGGTTTTTAGAATAGTTGGATGGGTAAGATAGAATAAAACCTGTACACAAACTCATAAAGTTGCTGACATTTTAAAATGAAAAACCTAAAATAGGTACAGTATACAAAAAAAGTCAATTTGAAAATATAAGCAGTTTCTGCGACAGTTTGTTGAAAACAAATTGTTTTGCATGTTTGAAAATATTTACAGTACAGTATCTTATGTTACACATTTTAGTTCATTTCAACATCCATACTCTAAGTTGCCTTTCTCAATAGCAATAGCATTTGTCTTCTATTTTCCAACATTTTGATATTGAATAATACACATTTTTGTACAGACAATATTCATATAAGTCTTTTTGACAATTTGGCCCCTTTCTGTTTTAAGCAGTATCATTGTAGTTTATAACAAAATTATTCTCTCTGGAACACCAAAGATTGCCTAGTAGCCTTAAAGGTTATCTTCCTCATCCTATTTTGACAATTTTTCTCTCACATTATATAGGTACATTATATATTTATTTTAAACACATAGTTCAAAATATTAGAAAGCCTCTTCTATCAAAAAGTAATCAATTTTTAAACATTATTTTCTACTTAACCAATTATTTTTTGTGGGGTTTTAAATACCAGTCACACTGTATAGGTCTATCCGTAAGTTCCAAATTTCTTTACCCCTACTTTACTCTGTTGCAATTTTTGCAGGATTCAGTTTTGGGATTGGGCTGACGTATCCACTAGCAGGGTTCATCATCGCCCACTCTGGCTGGAGGCTGGTGTTCTACACTACGGGGACGATCGGCGCACTCTGGTGTATATTCTGGTACTTGTTTGCATTTGACTCACCTCACAAGCACCCACGTATCACCAAGCAGGAACTTGAGTACATTCAATCCAACATCGGCAACTCTGTGCAAGGAGGACAGGTAGGCGCTTGATTTTTTTATCTCAAGTAAGTAAGATAAAATTGAATACATACATGAGTTTATACACCTTAGACATAAAAAACGTGTCAGTTAGAACCATTAAACTAAAGTCCATAACTTCCAAAGTTTAAACTAGGAAACGGATTCAAACAAGAGAAAAATTACTATGTGTAAAAAGTATTGTGTTAGCGATTATTGTGATTTCTGTAGACAAACTATTATTCTTCCAAAAAATATTTGACTTAATGATATAGCCTATAGTCTACACTTTTCCCGTTCATATTTTTCAAAATTATATCTATTGTTGCACATTTAATGCGATTTACTGATTTTTGACGTATTTTCCAGTCAATGAAGGTTCCATGGACGTCCATCATGACTTCTCTACCTGCTTGGGCTATCGGAATTACAACTTTTGGCCGTATCTGGGTCCATTACACCTTCATCATCCCAGGCCCCATGTACATGAAGACAGTACTTGGCTTCAGTATACAGAAGGTTGGTGTAAAATATAGCTCTGATTTGTGATACTTTACACTTACTAAGTAATGTTTTCCTCTAACTGATCAGATCCTGACCCCTTGCAGATTTTTGCCATGGCTATGTAAGTACTTTGTGGTTGATTTTATTGTCCTAACACACATGGTCCATGTAAAAACGACTCTAGTATTTCTCCCAAGCACATCACAATACATGTCCAAGACATGTTTAAATGATAACGGGGTTTTACGTTTAATACGTGTTGTCAACAATTATCCATTATACTGATCAAATAAAAATGAAAAGGAAAGGTCATGTTTTGGCCTCTACTACAGTTTGACCGTCCCTTACGGGAGTTTCATTAACGGTGAAGGTTTTGGGTTGGTGAATAGTTTGAATTTGTGAATATTTTAAATATTATCTCAAACAAGTTTAAAAACAGATATTGATATAAAAAATCCAGTAATACGTAATAGCAGTAAGCCTATATGAGTTTCTGACGATGTGTTACAGAATGGAGTTCTCAGTGGCCTGCCTTTCCTGCTCAGTTATCTGTCGTCCGTTGTGTTTTGCTATGTGGCCGACTTCCTCGTAACTCGTAACCTCATTAGCCTTACCAACGTGCGCAAGATATTTACTGCTATGTGTGAGTATGATCACTTAACTCATTACAGTAAGTGATTCATTTAAGTACACTTTTGCAAAACTAAACCACAAGAATGTGAATTTTTTACTTATATTTTTAAATTGAGATATTAGATTCCATCTAAATTACTAAAAACTCCACATATTATTGCCATTTTAAGTTTTTTTACTATTAAAAAATGCAGAAAATGGAAAATCAAACATATTAGGGAACTAAGAGAGCTGTTTCAACTTTCAAGTATCATAATAAAATATATTGTTATTAGAATAAAAATTACATGACCAAGATGGGTGACAGATTAGACAAATAGCATGAAGGAGATACAAAACCGTGATTTTTAAAACAAGGAACACCGAAATGAGAGAATATTCCCTGGACGCCCTTAAAAGGTGGAAATATAAAGTAAACAAAGCCATGAGAATGGATACTGACGAAGAATTTTCTCACGCTTGGCTGAAGTAAAGTTATCTAGCTGTTGAGGCTGTCTCAATGAAAATAGGTAGGAGAACTTACGTTTTTTGTGATATATTACCAACATTAACCTCCTGATTGTACTTTATCATAATGTTTTGGTAGCCAGCACTTTATTTTCAGAAACTGTTCATTTTACCCATGTTACAGCTCAGGTTATACCCGGTCTGATGCTGCTGGCTATCGGCTATCTTGGATGCAACATTACTCTAGTTCTCGTCATCTGGTTCATCGCTGTCTCTCTCATCACAGCCTCGTACGCTGGAGCAATGGCTAGCGTGGTCGACATAGGACCGAATCTAGCTGGTAAGTATGCCTTATTGATGTTTTGAGACATTACATACATACATACATATCCTCTCCCGTTCCGATTATCTTCGGGTCTGGGTGTTCACTAGGCCTCTCCATCTTCTTCTGTCCTTCCACAATTCCACTTCCTCCACATACTGCCATTGCTTCCACATCACGTTTCACCTCGTCGAACCACCTTCTTCTAGGTCTTCCTCTTGATCTTCTTCCATCCACATTCAAAGTTCACTCATTCTTTTCGGGATTCTATCATTCTCTATTCTTCTTACATGGCCGAACCATCTCAATCTCGTCTTCTCTAGACGTTCTCTCAAACTTTCTTAAACTATTCCTCTTCTCAGCTCTTCTTTCCTCATTCTGTCTAAATCTTGTTTTACCGTTTATCCCTCTTATAAACTTCATCTCCTCTGCCTGTACCCTACTCTATTCCCTCTCTGTTATGTTCCTAACTTGAGACATTATATGTAGAAATATTGGTGGTTTATGTTTGTTCTGTTTTTGGTCAATGCTCAGCTCATGGAATGAAAACAAAGAGAAATTTTAAAACAAAAGTGGTACAATGGAGTTTTGTTTCTATAATGGTGGGTGTGTTACTTTTCTTCAATGGATTTAATAAAAAAATATTCTCTTCTGCACCCTCGTCCCTTAGTGAAACACAAAGCTAGTACTATAAAGAATTAGTGTATTGTATTAGATTGACATAAGAATTTTTGAATAATGTTCTTAAATATTATGTTTTCAGGACCTATTCTTGCTTTTGCACAGACAATTCACATGACTGCTAGTTTTCTCTCCCCGATTGTTGCTGGTTTCATTCTTAAACATAATGTAAGTAACACTTTATAGTACCTAATTAACTAACTTCAGTAAATATTCAGACTATAAAGATTTATTGGTTGATCAAGGCTGGATTTATGTTTTTGGTACTTTTTTCAAACAAAATATTTGGTACCTCTATTTTGTCCTAAGATTTTTCTCTGTGGGTATTTTGGAGTGCTTATGGATCTACCATATAATGATGTAAACAAATCTTTTTATTCAGGTTTTTTGTTCAGTGGTTGCAAAAATCTTGAGTTTCAAAAAAAACTTATCAAGTTACATGAGGAAACATTATTTTATAGAATAGCTTGTGCAGAATGATTGTACAGTATACTAAAAAGATTCTTTAAAGAGATTTTATGTATTGTTGAAAATTAATTTTCAGAGTCAAGACTCAAACTATGTACAAGGTGTTTCCAGTTTGGTAGGTGAACGTTTTAAGTGGAACTTGTCTAAATCTATCAAAAATAACCCACTGATTGGTTTGTGTGCTTTTTTAATCCAGTAACCTAATGTTTCTCTTCAACTCTCTCTTTTTAACTGCCTGATATTCTCCTAAATGAAACACACTAACTTGATATTGTGGATTAGAGGAAAATTTTGTATGATACCGACCACAGTTATTCTTACTTTAAAATCAGCACGTGACTTCAACATATGGTGTAAAGAGAGAGAAAATTAGTAAATTTCCCTGTATATTTTCCCCTTTTGATGTGTATGTGAACTTTTATTAGTTGAGGTGTTAGCACTGTCATTGTTCAGTGATCATTTTTGTTTGTAAATGTCTTGGATTGTCTAGAATAGAATATTTTGTGGTTTACTGTTTGTTCTTAATGACTAAAAACTCATCTATCAGAAGGTGTCCAAATCCACCATCTAGATGTCCATAAGAATGTTTTACTTCTTTATGTTCAAGTCAAATAGCTTGACGGTTGTTGGGGGCCTCAGCCTGGGAAGGGGCCTCACTTGGGCCCTCAAAAGAATTTTTGTTATTTTGGAAAATAATTTTTGCTGATAATTTGTTAGAGGGAAACAATTTTCGACCCAAGTTTTTATCCTCCCAATCACTGAAAGCATCTGTGAAGATTGGGCGATTGAAAATCACGTCTTCAGCAATCAAGGGTGTGGATAATCAAATCTCGGCGACTGCAAAATACTGTTTTTCTGTGATTGTACGAGACATTCACGATTCATCAGCAATTGCTAAAGATGGCCACGGTTTCATCACCACTGCAGGGCAAGCTCACGATTTTGCCATAAATTTCTATGGGATCACCTCCTACAATAAGTTAATTTTACTTATTCAATTTAAATTTAATCATTCTGCGTAATTATCTCCGTTTACACTTGATATCTTTCCAGACAAGTTTGGAGCAGTGGAGGAAGGTGTTCTGGGTGGCGAGCTGTGTCGCTTGCGGAACGTACGTTTTCTTCCAAATCTTCGGCACCTCCAAAGTCCAGCCGTGGAACTACCCTGATGGCAGGATTCCCGAAGAGGATCTTGAACCCCTGAGTAAGAGGAAGGCCACTCGACGAGACAGTGCTGACTTTGCTACTGACGGATGATCCACGGAGAGTGTCACAGAGTCTTCGGACAGTCTGACAGTGTCGGTGGTCATGTGACTGGGAGAACCTCAATGTGACGAAGAAAAGTAGAGCCTCCGGTGTAGTCAGCGAAATCACATTAACATGTTTATTTATTATGATTACCTTTTTTAAATGTACTTTGTGTTTAGAAACAATAATTTTAAAATGTCTAAATCTATGACATGAAGTTAAACTTCTAATGAAAGATATTTGAAGAGCATTCAAATAATTATTTGCAAAAATATTAGTTTTTAAAGTTTGAGTTTAGTTTACAAAAATTTAACCATTTCAATTTGAGGTCAATAAGATGTATTGTGACTGTTTTACCATCAGTAGCGCTTTAAACATGTTGAGAGAACAATCCAAACCTCTCGGTCTTGTTGTGTTTAGCATAAATAGTTAATGCTTACAGTAAGAAATCGTAAGCTTTTTTTGTAATAAAAATAGTGTATCAGTTATGGTGGTCCTTGGAAAAAATTAGATATACATGTTTAAAATTTCAATTTTTAGTTTGATACACAATATCCCAAGTATTTGATTTGTATGATTTGTATCTTATTTGATAGCAAGTACTTATACAAGGAGGTAATCAAAATTTCTTGCTTCTGTGAAGCAATTTATTATTTCAAACTGTGATTACTTAAGTTTTTGACTCTTTAGGAAATAAATCATCTTGAGGCTCTGCTTAATTCCAGCTCTATGCATACTAGAAGATAATATTCTTATTTAACTATTATTTGAATAAGTATTTAGCAGAATAGTTTAATTGACTACTGTATTTATTTCATTATTTATTTTATAGTGCCATATTTTGTATCATTGAGTTTTAAAGTTGTTTCGCTTGGATGTATAATAACGCTAAAATGTGCCTGTAGAGTAATAATTAATGTTGTGGATATTTTAAAGTTAACTTAATTACGATTATTGTTATAATTTATGTAAAACTATACCTCCATAGAATAACTTGATTTCAAACTGCTTATTGTAAAGTTATACCTAAAAATGCTGAAAACAACTTTTGCTGATCTTAGAAAATGTATTATTAGTTTTGTTTTGGAAACCAGTCAAGATCAAAGTAAAATTTGAATCTGTTCTTTTAAACAGTTAACTGTTTAGGATTTTTACATAGCTGTTGTATATATACTAAAGATGAAATGACAATAATGAAAATCTTGTTTTAGAAAATGTTTAGTCAGGCTCCTAACAAGTCAAGAGAAAAATCACCTCTTATTTGAATTCCTTGAATGATTAGGGGCTAATGTAGAGTAATTAAAAACAAATGCAAATTCCCAAAAAGAAGTTTGAGAATGAGCAATTGTAAATCAAATTAGACAAAATCTGTAATTTTGTCTAATTTTATCAATGCGCTAGTTTTTTTAATTTCAAAACATCATCTAAGGAAGGGATAAAATTGTGGTATTTGGTTCAAGTTAGCATTTCTCGGTACTTTTTACGCTAGTGTTTTATAAACTTCAACTTTAGGAAAAGTATTGATTTGGGTGGATTATAAAAATATAGTTTTATAGCTGTGCCTGCCATATCCATATAGTGTGTTGACGTGGGATATTAAACTATAATAATACACTTAACTGATTGTACAGTAGCTAACCAACAGTATATTAGGGAGTAGCCTTTATAAATGAGTATAAATGAAAATCAAAGTAGCGATAGAACTTTCAATTTGTGATACTTTATAAAAATCCTATGAGGTTAATATATGGTAGTTAGACAAGTATGTTTGTTGTAATGTTAGTATAATGCTATAACTCATTGCTAGGCACTATTTTTGTAAGTTTGTTCTCTCTTATTACTGTTTGTTAGCCTGTGACTTAAAATTAGCTTTTAGAAAGCTTAAAATGTCAATTATCTGGTTCAGTATCAGTTTGATAATATCTTATAATTTAATAATGGTTGCATTTATGATCCAGAAATCTGAAGAAAAAAAAAATATTGGTCAGTAAATTATGTCACAATTTATGTTTTACTGAGATAGAAAATCAATTTAATCAAAAAAGGTAAAAAAAAGCTGTAACATACAACTTCAAAGATATTAATATTGAAAACTAACTAAAGAGTTAAATAGCCGAGTAAAATGGAAAAAAATGTTACAAAGTTATAAATATAGTTGTTAGATTATGTACTTACACATTGGCCAAGTACTTAATTAGAGCACTAATATTGGCTTTGACATTTTGAGCTTTTTTATTGCCTCATTCCCTTAGTTTTAATACTTTTATCTACATTTGGAAAAGGGATAGGTAGAATCTAGTGATTGAAGTATTAACTAAAATATAACCATGTACAGCATCCAAATAACTTTTTAACGATCCTTTTCAAGTTATTCAATACAAATTTACATAATCAAAATACTATGTGCTTACTTTAATAGGTTTTTTTTTTGTTTTACGCTTGTTTGAAATAATAGAAATCACAACAGGAATTGGGTGTCAGGAAATCCTTTGTTATGGTCCTAAAACTTCAGTCAAAATAGGTTTTATATGATTCAAAATGCAGAATACGCTATGCTTTTTAATGAAGTATCTACTTATAATCTTTTCATGTCAAAACTTAGTTTTTAAAAGAAGGGTCTAACATTTTTAAGTTTTTTTACATATTTTGAATTTTTTTAACTGCATTAATACTTGGGAAGAAAACTTAAAAGATTATGTAAAAAAAGACAATTTTCTGTAAGAATAATAAGGTATACAAGTTGGGTTTCAACTACTTTCTTTATAACTCTTTTCAGTGTTTTACTAATAGAACACAAAAAAGGACTTAAGATCAAGTTTACTAATTTTTTACTACAGCATTTGAAAAATCAAAATGTCATTTTATGTTGTCTTTGACTTTCAGACATGGTTCATATTAATTATTCATGTGCAGTTCAGTACAAACTATATTTAAAAAATAAATAATTTTAAATTTTTTTTTAATTTTAAAAGCAGCGCCAGTGCAGGGAATCCTAAAATTACCTATTTTGACTGAACTCCCAACTTGTCAAGGAGTTTATGTGACACATCAATGATAAATTGTTTTTTTTTAGTCCATTCTTAACAGGTTTTAGTTGAAAGAATCCAACTGTATTTATTACTTTTAGGTAAGTTCCTTGTAGGCACAAAATGTTGAATCAATTAAATTATATTTTTATATAAAATTTGTTTTTATACCGTATCCTCTCTTTAGTTGTCGTTGCAGAATAAGCTACCATAGGCTATCCTTGCTTGATGACAGGGGGGGGGGAGGAGTACGTAAAATAAATAATTCCATAGACAAAAAGAATTAAATATAGACCATCATCAGCTGTGCTGCAGTTACCATCCGTTCCATATGTACCATGGTAACTGCAGCACAGCTGACATAGTCTATATTCAATTCATTTTGTCTATGATAATTCTGCCTTCTGTTCTTATCTGCTGAGAAATAGTTACCCATTGTTATTTACCTTAGAAACAAAAAACTTATTTTACCACTTACTATAGTAAAATTCTTTTCTTTTAATTTAGATAAGAGGGTTCACATTTTCTATGCACATTTTTTCAACCTTAGTGGTACATGCTGATGCGTGTTTACAAAATACTTCAACTCTATGGATTTTAGATTTATTGGAAAGAAGAACTTATTGAACCTACTTAATCTAAAAATTCTGCTTATATTTGAAGTCAACACTCAACAGATCCATAAGAATCTAACAACATATCATAGTGTATGAACTGCATAAATTACTTGATATTGATGAAATGAAAAAAAAGTACACCCCTCTCTTGTATAGTAAGAGGGATGAACTCATAGTCCTATAGCAAGTTAACCGTAGCTTATTGTGCGCTTTTGCCCAAAGCTAGCATTTGGTCCCATGGGTCCCATCACCGCTGGCTGCTTTGGGTCAAACAGGGTCCTTCTCCTTGTGCTTTACAGTGTCATCGGACTGGTTGTGAAGTTGACACTCAAGTCATTGATGATTTCTACAGTTAATTGATCAGCAAATCAGTGTAAACATAAAAACGCATTCTGTTACTATGTTTACTTAATGGTAAAGTATGAAAATGTAAAGACAATGGACTATGGAACTGATTAAAAGAACTGGTGTGTATATTATGTTTTTCGTTGATATTTTTCTAGATGAGTAGTATCAGAGATGCAATGAAACGTTACAGTACTGTATTTAATATTGAAAACTAACTAACTAACGTTAGTTAGTGTTATTAACATACATTTTTAGTTATATTGATGTTTTGATAATCATATTAGTTTTGTCTGCCGAATTTAATGCACAGTTGCATTTGTAAATTAAATAATATGTACTTAAGATTATATAAAAAATAAAGTTTTCTTTATTATTACATAAAAAATAAATCCTCATTGGCTTTTACTACAGAAATACGAGCTAAATTAATAGTTTTACTTCCTTTTTACTTTTTCCCCTTATGCATAGTATTATGGAGAAAGTATTGTTTTTGTAAAAAAATTTAAGTTTGAGTGGATATATCAGAAAAAGTGGTTTTCGAAGTGATGTCTGTGGGTGTGTACGTGTCTGTATTGGTCTGTAGCCTATGTGTGGACAGAGCTACAGACGACACATTCCTATTTTGATTAAATTTGATATTTAAGTACTAATCCATGGTATCTCTAGGCTTTTTTTAAATTTTTTTAAAATTTTTATTTTAAGTGGGATTTCCCCATAAAACCCATAAAATACAGTAATGGAAAAATAGGATTTTCTCGAAAACGGCCTGAACAATTTGTCTCTTATAGTCCGTCAAATTCTGAACAAAATGGTACAAATCCCATTTCCGTAAAAATTACGGTTTGAAAGTTATTTGTACGTGAAAATGTTATTCGAAAATGTGATAAGTTTTTCTCATATCTGCTAATCTGCCAACACAAGATTTAAAACTAATCAAAACCAAAATTACGGTTTTCACTACAAACGTTTCTATAATAAAGGCCATTAAGGTTAAATTTTGTTTCTAAAGCTGGGTTTTCCTAGACGCGGAGAGTGTTCCACACGTGGTTTAAAAGCGTTGGCGGATGTGTAACTATTTTATACAGATGAAAAGATCAAAATGTTTCTATTTTTGCGTCCTCTTCCCGTTGCAAAGCACGGGTTTACGTATCTTCCACCATGGAGTTTACGGGTATAAAATGCGTAGACGCTACAGATTTCGAGATGTTTACTATAAGTTATAGTATAAAATATCGAAAATCGACGGTTAAAATAGTTGGATGTGCATTAGATATGAATGGAATATTAGCTACAAAACTACAAATCGAAATACAGTAACAATTTTTTTAAACAATTTTAACGGTGCTAAAAAATTATAGCACACTGTATAGCCGACGAATATAGGTACTTATTCATTAATTCTATCCCTTAATCTATGGTGAAGCGTGTTTAATAGATTCAGAATTATTTTAAATCGTTATATTGATATTCTTATCTTGGTACTCTATTACAATCATATATTAATAATAAAATCTATGTAAACTAATTACATGCACATTAACTTTATATATATACAGGTATTGTTAGGAATTTGCTATCGGTCTGTGCTGAATTCAAAGCTTCATTCTGTCTGACATTGACTTTTATTGATTGTTTTGTTTGGTCCAATTTGGTTGTTGTAGTCCAGGCCGGTTATCTGCAATATTTTCGACATTAAACGAATTCAGGTATGTTATTAAATAGAAATTGCCTAAGAAATTCATGGGTAAGTCATTTTACAATAATATTTGCCAGTTCCTTCCCAGTTTACTCATATTTCTCAGTCATAAATTTATCTATCTGAGAGTACTGACTGAAGTTGACAGGATGCACTGTAGTGGCCTATTGCTACCCAACTACCTAATTAGTGGGCATAGTAAATTTATGACAAATTATTAGTGAACCTAAGGTTTTAAGGCAGGAATAAAACTTAGTAAATAAATATGAGAAAATTAAAGATAAAACATTTTTTTGATTAAAAGTTGAGTTAACTTAAGAGCTGTTTAATTAAATTAGGCATAGGTCTTGTGTAACACAAGTTTAAAGCCTAGGCCTACTGAACATATTGCATGGCTTTTAAAGCAGACACCTATCTTAATCATGTCAAGTTTTGTTTAATAGATGTTTTGGCCTCGAAATTGGCTCTCAACTCAAAGAGATTTTCTGAGATTTTTTGTAGGCCTATTTTGTATGATCTTTTGTACCTAGATCATTGCTTTGGAAAGAAACTAACTTAAGAAACTTCCCAATTTAGCTTTAGGCCCTACCATGGGTGCCCACAGGAAACCTTTTTAGGGATGACATACCTGTTTCTTGCTCTTTTTCTCTCTCTCTCTCTCTCTCTCTCTCTCTCTCTCTCTTTGAATCACTTTCTTGATAAAAGGCACTCCCCATAAAAGTTAAAGTGTAGGGGCCTAAACTGTTTTACACCTAACTTAAAATGTTTTTTTTTTAAATACCGGTAGGCCCTAAGGTAGGCCTAATGGTTACACACTAGACGGAACTAAGTTACTTTTGGCTGTTAAGTTAGTCTAACGGTAAAATCTGGTATTATTTTTGGAAAACTTACTAAGCAGGATGGGCGAAATAGGGATGTAACAGATAAACCCCTTACCTAAGTTATAAAATTAAGAATCTTATGTTCTTTTTTATCAACTCTGTCCCTGAATCAAAATCTATAATATATTTTAAAATACCGGTAACCCTCTGACACCCAAAAAAATTCATGTCAGTGTTATTTAACTTAGGCCTACTAATGTTAGGCCCTAAGCCCATTAATTAAAATGTTGTCCATTCATGTTATTAAATTTTGGTAGTACTTAAGTATACTTCCAACCAATGTATTAACATAGACTAAGCAACACAAATAGACTCCTTATCCCATTGTAAATTTTGAAGCTTGTTTTTTTGTGTCTAGTTCATGTACGTCCACACTGATCACTGGGGTAGACAAAATTTTTTTTATATTATTTTAGGGTTATTTTCATGATTTGTGCTTTACTATTTGATTACCTGTATATAACTTTGAGACCAGTTATTGTTTATGATTAGCCTATATAGTTTTATTTGGTTAAATGAGGTTTTAAATGACTGAAATAACAAGAAACAAATTGTAAACAAAACACAACCTCTACAGTTGGACGTACAGAACCAACAATAAAATTGGCTTCAGCTGTTCCATAAGAATGACAAATCTACTAATGGAGTATGTTTTGGTATTACTTACTGGTACAGTTTTTGTTGTAGAAAATATGGCGGATAACAACAAGAATGGATACTTAACAGTTGCAACAAACTCCATGATTCAACAGCATCTTGCGGCACAGTCACAGCAGAAACTCAAAATGGACGAGCAACAAGTAAACTACAGCCTTAAAGTGCCCCAAGTTAACCACTCTCAGGAGTCTTTTACCATGGTTCCAGATGACGGGCTTGGCTACGACGATGGTGTCAGAGTACTCCGCTCTATTGGGACATGGTAAGCCTAATTCTCAAGCTGTTGCTGACTAGCTAAGTAAAAAATATAAAGTAGGCTATGAAACTATGCACTATAGAACTAAGTATGGCTATATGAGTAGGCTATGGTGTGGGTATATGAATTGCAAGGAGAGGGTAACTTTTGTAAAGGGCTCAGTTCTTAGTAGCCTAAAAAATATAGGTAATTCTGTTATTGGCGTCCATCAGAATTACCTATCCCGGAAGATGATTAAAATTTAGATAGGCCTAAAAATGTTTTATTTTACGCTATTTTAAACCTTGGTTTGACAGCTTATACTTAAAGGTGCATTAAAAAAAATGTGAATAATTTCTATTGTGGCCAATGGCATAGTGTAAATTGTTTGACTTAAAATTATATTTTTACTCTAAGTTACAATGTAGGCCTAAATATGTACGGTAGTGATTCTAGGTAGAAGTCCTAGATAAAATTCACTAATTTCACCTGGTCGGTTTTTCTGTTGAAAATTGATTTTACGGTGATAGTGAGAGACGGTGATGTCCAGAGAGCGTGGAAGATGTTCAAGATTTTCTCTTAACCTTGGAAGATGTGCATGATTTGGCCAAGACCGTGGTTGATGATCTCGATCTTGCCGTCACCGCAGATGTTTACGATTTCGCCCTGATTATGAGCGATGTTCTCAATGTTACTGGTGACCGTCAAAGTTGTTCATGTTTTCGCTGTGACCACTGAATATGTTATTCACGAAGATTATTATGGGTTTCACTCACCTTTATTTTTGTCTGTGATGTCCAGGACGATTCGTCAAAACACACATAAACACATATATATACATGACACAAAATCGTCCATGGCATCAAAAGTCCGACGTTTCGCGGAACTCAAAAAAACCTTCCTCTTCCTCAGGGTAGAAAAATACTATTTTTATTCCGCACGCGGGTCGAACGCCTAACCACGACTGCCGGATCAGCTGAGCTTGGAGGCAGGGGTAGGTGCATTGTCCATTGTTGATAAGCCATTCACGCTCCTGGCCTTATCTCGTAGTTGTTCTCGTTCATATTTAACAACGTTTAGGCTAAGTACACCTTACTGACATCCACCAACTTTACAAGGAGTCTGATTGGAGGAAACAAAATACGGCAGAGTTGCTTTTCATGGCAATAGAAGACAAGCCACTTTCACGACCATCGGTGGATGTCAGTACGGTGTACTTATACGTTGTTAAAGACGAACTAGAACAACTATGAGATAAGGCCAGGAGTGTGAATGGCTTATCAACAATGGACAATGCACCTACCCCCATCCGTCCTCCTCCAAGCTCAGCTGATCCGGCAGTTGTTAACCCATGGTTAAATGGCTTGATTTATTAGGGCTAGCGGTAGCGTACAAAATGTAAAAGCAGTTCTATCGGTGTAAGAGAGATTTAAAGTTTTTCTTACAAATCTTAGGCTACCGTAACTTATGCATCCTAGAGTTTTCAGTACCGTTAGGCCTATTATGTTATTTCACTAACTTTTGTACATACAATTTCCCCTAACACAAGCAATAGACATTAGCACCTGGAAACATTTAATCAAACGTGAAACTTATTTCAAATCAAGATTTCGATTGTGCAATAAGTCACCTTTTAGTATCCAAAGACAAAGATTAACAAAGTAAGCCTACTTGAGATGTTTGATTTACCCTTTGAAGCTGTTATTTTTTTAATCAAAATTGTCTGAGAAATTGTTAGTCCACAAAAATGTTATTTCAGGGCTCCAGATTACTCGAGCAGCTCTAGTTCACAAAGTTACCAGCCTGAAAACTCCTATAATGAAGTGAAAAAGGCCTCGCCATCTACCAACGCTTCCCAGACTCAGACCTACCAGATGTCACTGCAGAAGCCCAAGCCCAAGGTGGAGAATAACAATAAGAGCTTCACCTGCACCGAGTGTGGGAAAGGCTTGGCTAGGAAAGATAAACTTGTAAGTTAATTTATTTATTTGTAAAAAAGCTTTTTGTTCTATGTGAAATATTTGGTCTTTGGGAGACTATCACTTCATTGAACTGGTGAAAATACTGGATTTAGGTTTGGGATGCGTTGCAGTAATCTATAAAAACGTCAGCTGGTGCTTTTGCAGATTCAATAATGCCGTTATGTTCCTAAGAAGGAGTCTACTTTGATCCTAGAACCCTACATAAAGTAGTAAATTCTTTATAATATTCTAGTATTTCTAGTAAACTGTTTTTGAAGCCTTGTTTGGATGATGATAAAGTTAAAAAATAAGACTGGTACATGGAAATATATTTCCATTGTCTATTTTCTCGTTGAACTTGAAGTTCTTGTCAAGTTACAAATTTTACAGTTTTCCTGACTTATCTTTAAGTCCAGCTTGAACTTGTCCAGTTGCGATGCGGATCAGCAGAAATTTATTGTTAAAGGGGTTTTACTTAATTGTAGGTGATACACATGAGGATCCACACTGGTGAGAAACCTTACGTGTGCGAAGTTTGTAAGAAGGCGTTCTCCCGACGAGACAAGCTGGTGATACACATGAACAAACTGAAGCATCTGACTCCATCGAACCTGGCCCCACTGTCCAAGCGTGTGCCAGACTCCCGCCCACCGCAGCCTCAGCACACTCTGGTGGCACCTAGGAAGGAGATGAAGGACGAGAGCACTTCCATGTCTCCCCCGCCACCTCCCCCACCTCACCCTTCCGTTATGGTGAGTTTTGCGTTTTTTTCTTATGTTAGGTTCAATGCTAGTTTGAGACATGCCGACAATATTATCACTGTGGTTACCAGAAAACCATTTGACTCGTGTTATAGTATTTCACTGGAGTTGAGGTTAAAATTATAATATTTTGGATTTAGAACATATTAGGCCTATACCTTGGAGAAGTGCAGGCACTGAACAAACAATAATTCACCCTGGTAGAGAGTTTACAAGATTACTGGGACTGTGATGGCTGTTGCCAACTATGCAGTGTTGCCACATATCTCTAGTTTATTGACAACTATCTACAAAACATATATTTATATACGCTCAAAAATACATATACTGTATACACACACTAGGCCTGTTATGCATTTTAGCTAGCTGCTGAACAGGTGTGTCTTAGGTAGTGGTTGGTGGTAGGGGGGGAGGTTCTGGAGCTGGTTTAATACCGGAATGCCAGTTCCCACCTTCTTAACATGGTTCCATAACCGTAACATCGAGAATTTCTTTGACAGTCAAGGCAAAATTGTAACCATCAACATTCCTTCACCATAAACTAACGCTGATAGCAAATTTGTGTATATCTTACGTAGTCACAGTGACATCGTCGTCTCCAACCATTGTGGCAAAATCGTCAATTTTCATATGAGCAAACATTTACAGCGATCCCAGAAACACTGTGTACTGTACCTAGGCCTACTGCTCTGTTGGGACAATTGTTGGCCTCACCTGACCTGAAAACATTGCAAAACCCACCAGACCTCCTAGTAAATAGTCCTAGACCCATATTTGACAACTGGATTTGTTGACCGGAAAAGTGGGAAATATCGTGTGAATGATAGGGATTTTGTATCCAACCTGTTTTCATAAGTAAATGCCTAAGCAGATAAATTTGCACCCGATGGTTGAGGAGTGCCGGATAAGGCTTTAAGTTGAACTCAGCTTATAGGTATTTAGTAGGTATTATTTTTGTAACCCTATGCCCTACTATTCTTACAAATCAGAGTTACAACTAACCGTAGTTTGATTATGTTGCAGCCCCTGGATACAACTACGTACTGCGGCCCGTTTCCTCAGCCAGACCAGAGCTACTGTCTGATGTGTCATCAGTCCTTCACCAATAGGGACCAGTTTATGTTCCATCTGCGTACACACTTCCGCACCCCTGACTCCACACAAGTCTGCTCCTAAGTGACTCAGTATCATCACCTAGACATGCTAAACGTATCGAGCTATGTCTGTATTAGCTTTAAACTATCCTGCCGACTAAAGCCCACCCTGGAAGATGGTTAGCTGTAGTTAGCCGTTTGTTTGCTATAGTTAAGGACTTGGAGGTAAAATTTGAGCGTGGAAGTTAGTTTCTTAGTTGTTAATGAATCTTGTCAATGTGAAGATGCTTACATCACAATAAGGTAACAAAATAGGATTTTATCATTGCTGATTCTGGTACAAGGAACTAAGGTAATATCAGTTGATGGGATGAAACATCTCATAATTTAGCTTTATATAAAGCTTAGAATTTCTAAGTGCCAAGATTTTTGTTTCATGACACTTTTTAGTATTTAGTGTCTGAATAGCCATAAAGGTTTGTCAATTGACAATTAATTTATGTCTTTGCAAATGCCATTGAAACTAATATGAACAGTCGTAGCTTTAAATATTGTAAGGTTTTGTGTTGAAACAAGTGGCACACAACAAAGATGGCATGGATCCAGAGGAAACTTGTATGTAGAAAGTTCAGGTTGTAGTAGGCCTATGTGCCGCTAGTGGGGCTGTGATCACATTTGGTACATTAACACATGCACTCAGCACAGTATGGAGAGATAACGAATAATTGGGACAAGACTAGTTTTGAGGGCAAGAGGAGCAAAGAGAGATTTTCTTACGGTGTGATATTTCTGGGACCTACATCTTGTAGAGATCTGAATCTAAAATTTATGTGTATACATTATTAACTGCAATACAGAATTTACTCTACTGAAATTGATTCTCATTATTATTTATATTTACTTCTTTTTAAAATTTATTTCCAAACTGTTGATATCAGAAACATATGTTAATCACCCGAAATTAAGGAAAAATTGAGAATGTTCATCACTCTAGCTTGTTCCTATACAGCTCAGTTTTTATTATTTCCCTTGATGTCAAGGTTCCTGTACAAGAAATACAGTTCAGTGAAAATAAAGACTTTTTAAGTACTAAAATATCGACACTTGGAACATTGCTACTTGGTTTCTCATTACGTTGACTGACTAAACAAACAACCGAGTTGTATTAGCAGCAGCTGTAACTAAATTTAAGATTCAATCATTGAATCCAGCACACCAAATTTGAACTCAAACCTCTTCACAAGAGCTGTAAGGTTTGATTCAAAGTTGACACATCCCGAATTGCACTTGAATGTTTCCTCTGGATCATTCCTCTTTGTGTCGAGGAGTGATTGAAAATCACGGAATGTATCAAAGTTTTTGGAATTTTGAAGATTGGCAAATCCATTAAAATATTTTAAATAGGTTAATGGTATTTTTCTTACATTAGTGTTTTTATTGGATGGCAAATATGAGACTGACATATTTTTGAAAAAGTATCTTTCTAATAAGTAGTAGATTTAGTATGGAGAATCAAATATTTGTAATATTTTCATGATGAGCGACAGAATCCAAATTAACAAAATGTAAAACTATTCTAAACTATGATAACTGTTAACAAGAAATGAATACAAGATACAATAACATGTGCCTACAAAAGTATTATTCGAAAGTTTTATGCAATTTTCAATGTAACTTTTGAAAAGAGGTTAAATTTCTGGTGTGTACTGGTTATGTAATTTACTGTGTTTGTATTAGAAGTAAAAACAAATAAAACATGTATAGATGTAGCAACAGTCAACATTCAATGCAAACATTACTGTCACAAAACAATAACAAAAGACAACAATTTCTGTACTTGTAGATGATTAGATTTTGTCAAGACCAGATCGTTTACTGCCACTTAATCATAAATTCAAGACCAATATTAAGCGTAGTTATTGTAAATAGAAAAACCTCAGGAATCATATTAAATATATCATATTTTATCAGCCCCTAGTGTAAGTTGTAACGATTCTAGAGTTTTGTGTAGATTATATTTGTGTGGAATATTTTGTAAATAAAGGAGTAATTTTGTGAAATCTACCCAAGTATCAAAATAGATGTGAAGTATTATCTCATAACATATCTGATCTAGCAGCTTAGAAATATTTTTTGAACGTGTAATAATATTTTTGCACAACTGATGTTAACACTCTAATGTGGTACATGACTTAAAAATTCACTCCCAGAAATAAGTTGTTTAACTAGCAGTGTTACACTGTTATTATATATTTTTTACTGATTCCAAGACTAAGGTTTTATTTTTTACTGATATTATATGGAGATCAAATAAAATATTTTGTTAGTTATCAGGGTAAAAATAAGGCTAGAATGAGTTCATGGCAATATTACTGTAAGGGAAAATATAAATTCAAAGGTTGTCATGAGTTTCATTCTATATGCAATGCACAGTGTTCACTGTCACTGGTACAAATATGAATGACGGACTATTGTTTGTATTAGATTTATTAAGTTTTACCAAACTTAATAACATGTTAATAACTTGTTTGTATTGGGTATCTAAACTAACAATGGACAAACTACAGGGTGGCCGAAAAGTTCCTTTACACAAAAAGCAGTGGCTACTTGTCGGATTTGGACCGGTCCGGTTGAGTCCTCCAAAATGCAGAACAATGTTTCCTTTGTTTTTAAATGGAGGTGGCTACACTTGTCTCCTCAGCTCAGCTCCAAACCGATTCGACACAGAACAATCCTCCAGGGAGCATTCTTCTGCATTTTGGCGGAAGCGATTGGGGCGGACCGGAGCTGATTTGACAAGTATAGCCACCACTTCCAGCGGGACCGGACCAAATTAATCGGACAAGTGTAGCCCTAGCTTATTGGAGGATGTAGTACACTGTTATAAACACGTGAGTAGTTACGGAACTAGAGAGGGAGTTAGTGAGTAGTGGGGGGAGAGAATGAAGCCTCGCTCTCCCTTCCCCCACCACCGCTTTGGCCCTAGAACACCAATTGAATTAATTTATCGTTAGTGTAAAGGGACTTCTTGGCAACCCTGTACAGTGTATATTGCAAACTGTGTAGAACATTTCATGGTCTAATGAATTCATTCTAGCCTTATTTGGTAGTCTTGTAGGTTAAGTTGTATGTAATATTTCGGACCAATCAACGTTCGTTGAACACTAGTCATTTGTTTAGTAAGAAGTAGAATCTGCTAGCAATCCATTTCAAATCTCGCCTTTTTTATAAAGTTTACATACTTACCCGCCTTAAGAGTAATGGTTTCTGGCCTTAGATAATTTTAGCCTTAGATTTTGTACTCAGGTTCCTAGGGTGTACAAAAAAAAGCCAAATTGTGTAGTTTTATTTTTGTGATATTTTTTTGTCTCTGTGTGTAAACTCTAATTTTAAAACTCTTAGCCTAGCTGTTGTAGTTTAGTGCACATTTACGTAGAAAGTAAATCTTATTTTAAGGATTCAACTTGCTGAATCACAGCCATAATTCATTGATTTTATTACACATATTTTTACACTGTTTTGTTGTTTTCCTCATCTTACACAAAATATACAGGGTGATTGGTACTCAGTGTGACAAAAATTTTTTGGTGTAAGTACAAAGTAAATGAAGTGTGATGATGCATATAACATGTTCCAAGTCTAAAAATTAGCTTCCCAAAGAATTATTTTATGTTTTTCAAAAATAACCATGTTTTTAAACTTAATACAGCTATTTCTCCATTACCTGTAGATGGATTTGAGTAGATAATGTCATTTTCGTGTTCTACATTAAATTTAAAATAAGAATAATACTAAATGACAGAGGATCAGTTATAAAAACTCCATTGTAAATAGATTCAAAGATAAAAATTAAGATGTTTGATGAAAACTTAAAAACATTGGTCAGTTGCATTTGTTCACACCCTGTATACAAGAAAGTGTCGGAATATGTTAAAAACTGCGCCATTTTATAAGCTTTCCAACCATATGCTACACTATTGAGGTTTGCATATTTTTTTGTTTGTTTTAGTGGTTTGAATTCCAGTAAACAGGGAACATTTTTACTGTTTTACTGTTCAAACTGAAACAAAAATACAACTTTTGCTTATAAATGCCGACTTTCTATGTTTTAAACGTTAAAGACACCATGCTTTGTAGTCTTCAAACCACTAAAGTGTACATAAGCAGACATAAAGCTCAATGGTGTAGCATATGGTTGGAAAGCTTATAAAATGGCACAGTTTTTAACATATCCCGACACTTTCTTGTATACGGGGTGTGAACAAATGCAATTGACCAATGTTTTTAAGTTTTTATCAAACATCTTAATTTTTATCTTTGAATCTATTTACAAGGGAGTTTTTACAACTGACCCCCCGTCATTTTGTACTATTCTTATTCAAAATTTAATGTAGAACACGAAAATGACATTATCTACTCAAATCCATCTACAGGTAATGGAGTAATAGCTGTATTAAGTTTAAAAACATGGTTATTTTTGAAAAACATAAAATAATTCTTTGGGAAGCTAATTTTTAGACTTGGAACATTTGATATGCATCATCATACTGCATTTACTTTGTACTTACGCCAAAAAATTTTTGTCACACTGAGTACTAATCACCCTGTATAAAGTTTTTAGAGTCTTTTTCAGTTTTGCTAAAAACACTTTCATTTTTTACGACCAATGCTTTAAAGAACCAAATTCAAACCTTCTGAATTCTTCTGAAAAATTGTATCTGTGTTATATTTGTTGTGGCTGCTAACAATTCAGTTTCTATCAGGACGATAAGATGATCTCGTTTGAAAAAAAACTTTTGATACATAGGTGACTTAAAACTATAGAAGTAAAATACACCATTTTTTTTTTAGTAGGTAATTCATGTTATATATTTAATGGTGAAATTTAGTTTCTATAAAAATAGTTCAAGGTTTATAAAATATAAATTTTTTGTTTTGTTTATCAGAATTTGTCAGTATAACTAATTTAAGTCTTCCTGTTGTGTAAGCACAAGTTTATTTTTGCAATCATTAACAATGCAATATTTTTTTAGCATTTAAAATTTGTTTGAATAATAGAGAAAAGTTGGTTACAAGTTGAAATAAGTTGGTTTAAGTCAGTGTAGGCTATCCATCTATTACCTAAGGTAATTTTTTTTGTCTTTTGATTTTTTTATGGTCATTCAGTGTTGGTTATTCAAGATACAGTAG